CCGTTCTTTGAACGGGAGGCGGGACTTCGCGATACGGTCGATCCGGCAAGGGAACCTGTGATAGTGCAGGGCACCCCTTGTCCGGGGGTCACCGGTAGGTGGCAACTTTTTTAGATATTACTATAGTCACAGGTAACCTGGGTGCAGAGCCCGACGCCCGTCCAAGAGGGGGGGGGGCGGGGTCACTGCTCCCAGGCAGGAGCCCTGTGTTATAGGTAGGATTAGATGTAATCAAGAAGATGACAACTAGCATTAGAATAAAACATAGAGATAAGGGACACTCTATTGGAAGGGGAAAAGTGGCAGAAATCACTTACAACAAACTGCAAGTCCCACTAACTAGAATATTCAGCACCAATGAAGGTTTTAAAGTAATCTGTAAAGATGACTTTGATTCAGATAAAATCCTTTCAAAAGAAGCAAGAGATATATTTTACAATGAAGGCCTTATTGTTGTCATGCCACCAGAACAAAAAGCAAAAAGATCAGTTTTTGTTCGTCAAGTCGATCAAGAGATCGGGAGGAAGACCTGAAAGAAGAACTGGAACGCCAAAATAGGTGGATGAAGATTGAAGAAGCCATTAAGATAAAGGACTATACTCATGTTTGAAGAAGTGTCAATGGCTGAGAAAGTTTTACAACAGGGCTTTCTAATATTCAACATGTCAGTCACACCACATCAAATAAAGAAGGAGACATTCATCAGTCTGCAAACTTGCTTCTCCTGCTACAAATATGAAGAACACACAACGAGAGACTGTCCGGAAAAAGAAAAAAAGTACTGCTCAGATTGTGCAGGCGACGACCATACCTACACTGAATGTAAGAATACACATGTTGGCTGTCTCAACTGTAAGAGAAACGGGAATGTATACAGGACATAGGACGTTAGCAATGGCATGCCCAATAAAAAACACATGATAAAGTACAAGAAACAAGGAAAAAGGAACAAGATTAAGAAGGATACGACATACGCCGAAATAGCAAAGAGAGCGGTCCAAGAGGCTCATAGACCAGAATCCAGTATTAAACCTAAGTGAGCCAATACATGATAAGGTAATGATTAGTATGATCCATGCACATTTGCACAATATCATTGCACCCGGATCATACAATGAGGAATTAAGGAAAATGTTTAAATTGAATAACCTACCAGAGATGATATTTCCAGAGAATCCACAATCCGAAAAACTATTTCAGACAACATATGCAAGCGAACTGAGAGAAAGACTACATCAAGACGAACAAAGGTTTGAGCAAGGAGCAACAGCTGATACACAAGGAACACAAGCGACTGATAGAGATCCCAGACAAATGACTAGAAGTGACAAAGAGAAGATAGAAATAACAAAAGGACAGACAAAGGAGTAGGAGGAGAGAAGATAAGATGGAAACTGATCACAATATACAACCTGAATCTGCTGAAGAAATTGGATTAAAAGTTATCACTACAACAAAACATGGAATCCCAACATCGAGACCAACAGGAGGGACAATAGTAAAAACTGTGAAGGAGGGATATACAAGTGGACATATCAAGAAAAATCCCTAAGTGAAGATTATGTCTGGTCACTAATTACTACGGACAAACTAAAGATTACGGCCAAAGACTTTAAAATAGTAGACCCGTCAGAGTATAGAAGAGTCAGAAGCGGGAAACAGGATGATAGGTCTCCACTCCAACTGCCACAATCCAAGTATAAGAAATAATGGACAATAGACAAACAGTAAGAACTTTAAGAATAATACAACACAACGTAAGAAACTGGAAGACCGAGAGAATTAACCTAAGTAATATATATCGCGAAATTGACCCTGACATTATACTAATAAACAGTCACGGTGAGACAGAAAACAACAACATAAAACTCTTTAACTATTATGTAAACCAAAGAAATAAATCGGGCGAGAAAAATGACGGAGTAGCGATAGCGGTTAAAAGAAACTTAAAATTTAAACTAATTGATGACTTCCAGGATGAATTTCTAGCAATAAAAATAAATACAACTCAAGGAGACGTAATTATTGCTACTACTTACCTATAGAAGACCTATTAAAATTGGCTAACAATAGTCATCCGATGTACATCTTAGGAGACTTTAACGCCAGACATAGGATTTTTGACAATACAAATAATAACGTCGTGGGAAACGCCCTTAATCAATTAATAAATTTAGGGAAAATCAATCATCTGGGTCCTAACTTTCCAACCTGGAGAAATCACAATACACAATCGACACCAGACAAAATTTTTACCAACAACAAAGCCTTTTTCAATTACCATATAATACAGGGACCTCTTACAGGCAGTGACCATCTGCCAATTATACTAACACTGTCAACAAGCCCCATACAGATACCAATAAAAAAGAGACTGAAAATGAGTAAAACAGACTGGGACAGCTTCAAAGACGACTTAAGTAATCACCACTCGATTAACCTACAAGGGAAAACAACAGAAGATATAGACTCAGAAATGGACAGACTGCACTCAGCAATA